TATTGACCCCTTTTAGCTTAAAAATATATATAGTAGGTACTAGGTAGTACTGAAACGAATCGTGATTTATTAAAAATATAATCTAGTAAAATTTACTTTCTGTTTCTGAGAATATGGGAAATAAAAAAAAATAATGTTCTACATTAAAATTTGCATATTAAATGTCAAATATAAAATTATATTGTCGAAAATTATACACACATGAAATTAAAAAAAACATGGAGAAGATACAAGCTTATTGGTTCAAAATATGTATTTAGTTTATACTTACGAGTACCTACACATGCAATTAATATCTTTAAGTTACATTAAAAAATACATAAAATATATTGTATTATACGTGTATTTCCACTTTATCTCTTTCACTTCTTTTTTCCACACCTGCTCGTCTGGGGCTCCTCAGATTTTTTCGACCTGGCTTTCCTAAATTATAATGAAAAGCTACTTCATATATTATGTTGATATACTTCACGAATAACTTCTTCAATGTATAATTTTCACAGTTTATTCGTGAATATTAATAATATCAAATCTGTCCCACGGGAACTGTAAATTTTTCCGGGATAAAATACTATAATCTATCTCTGTGCCAAATTTTATTCAGATCTGTTCAGCCGTTCTGGCGTTAAATAGTAACAAATATCTAAACATCTAAACTTTCACATTTATAATATTAGTATATAATACATCCATATATTATTTGCGCATGTTTTTTTTTTGCAATCACACTTTACGATATTATCTTTTTATATCTATGTTAGTACGCGCGTCATTCAAAACAAGACGGATTTCAGAAAGGAAATAGGTATTAGTTGAATTTTGTGTACCTATTGAATTAGTATTATCTAGTAAACATTTATATCCTTTATATAAACAATCTCATTTGTGTTTGTTTGGAGATACTAAGAACTTGCTCTGCGTCACATTCCGTGACTTGACGACAATGTATAGAAGAAGGTACTGCGTGTTGCTATTTGAACTTAAAAGGTAACTTTTCAAGCTCTTTTTAATCTACAATATGTATTATATATAACATTGATGATAATAATAATAATAAATATTATATACAAAGTGTAATATAGGCAAAGTGAACTAAATAAAAATGCTTTCAAATACATAGGTAATATAGAAAGTTTTAAAACAGCATACAAATATAAATACAAAAATACATGTTGGTGTGATAGGTAATAAATAAATTATTATAAATAAATAAAAATATCTAACGGATTTTATTACAATAACAAAAAAAAGCTATTGTCATGCTGTCTCTGTTTCAAGGGCAGGTAAAAAAATGCATAAAAATACAATACATTATAGTATTATTGTTATTATTCATTATATTGGTCCCTGGCACTTTTCCGGATAAATGGAAATCAGCCATGGCGGTTCCTGTATATAAATCAGGTTGTACTAATCTGATCTGTAACTACAGACCTATCTCAATTTTGTCTACATTATATTTTTGAATGCGCTGTTTATACTTTGATTCAGAAGCCTATGAAAAATATAGATATACATATAGAAAATATAGTAAAACGTGCTTCTAATTGATGCTTGGGTTTGTTATACGTAACAATAACATTTTTAAAAGTTCAAATATTAAAAAGCTCCTTTATTTTAGTTTGGTTAGGAGTATCTTGGAGTATGGCTCAGTTGTCTGGCGTCCTCACTACGCTACGAATATCCTAAGACTAGAAGGTATTCAGAAACGATTTCTGTGGCATCTGGCTTTCAGTGCCAAAAAAAATGTAAAGCCAAAAAAAATCCTTCTTAGTTCTTACAAAGAAAGGTTAGACTTCTTCGGAATGACCGCGTGGTATGAACGTATGGAACTTCTGGATCTTTTGTTAACTCATAAACTGCTGAACGGCTTTATTGACAGCACCAGATAACAAATTGCTAAATAAATCTAGCCTTAAATATTCTGAATTCTTATAGCGTAGATGTCGACATATTTGCTGATTCCTTAGCTAAATTCCGCAAAACCATTTGAACCAACATTGGTATTCTCATATAATGTTATACTTGTTAAATTAATGTAATAGTGTACCTGACTCTTGACTACTCATTGATTAATTAAAAAAAATAAATAAACACTGTTTACTTCTAAAATAAATTGTGTTTAATATTTAAAAAAAAAACTTTATTTTTGTGCATGCTGTGTTTATTTGTAAGTAATCACTACATTTACTTACAATAGTTCCTAGTTCTTAGTTCTACATTTTATATTTTGTGTATTAATGAAAGTGATTTAAATAAACCTAATAAATAAATAGCAGGTGTAAGTAGTATTATTATATGTTATTGTGAATGTATGAGGTATTTACTTTTTTCATAAAACGCACAGTTTTTATAGTATTTATTCTAGATATCTTGTATATAACATCGCTCTTAAATAGTTATTATAAAAAGAGCCTATTGTTGTCACATTGTCACAGTGTTAAGAATCAACACTTGAATTGTATTTACAATAATAGAAGGCAAAGGACGTTGTATTTAATCCTTCTTTTGTTATTTTAACATTTTATCTTGATGGCGTTAGAGATAATAATATCATCGTATTACTACAATAAAATAGCAAACTTGTTACTTAGCGAGTATGAGGTAATCTTTGTAACAATTTGCAGCAGCAGTATAAGAATTATGACCATGACCCTGAAAAATGTCGGGTTTTATTTTGAATAAATAAATTAAGATGAACTCAGCGATGTGATGAAACTCATCTATTACACAAACAAAAAAATAAATGTAATCTTTAATGAAATAACTTATAGAATACCTTTTGTATTAGATTTTTCAAATAATATAATTTTTTAAATTTCAGAATTCCGTAGAACTAACTGCATAAATAGTTTCAGTGCAAAAATTTAAAGGTAAACACTGTTTCGCCAACGACCCAGTGCCCCAGTTCGGATAGGTACTCTTGAAATCTGCGATCTTTTCGCTTGTTATTGGGCCATAATTAATTGATCGTTGAATCATGAGTATAATGTTAGCTAATATTTGTTTTATTATTACAATAACTGTTTCGTTATATCGATTATAAAATAACACAGTTGAAACCTGTTATTGTCCCTAAAATGATAATGGTGTGATACTATAATAATTTAATAATTGACCTACCTATGTCATTCTATTATTCCATTATCCATATGAACCTGCCTAACTATCATAACTTTAAAAATAATTTAAATTCTTAAAAACAATTACAGCTATGTATTTAAAAACAACAAACATACTTACATGTAACGGTAACATATACAGATTGTTCATGTACTTATATAAAATACATGTATATAAATAACGGTTAGTATGGAACAGAGAGACTATGTATGTATTGTATGTATTCAGCCATTTTTAACGTCCCACTGCAGGGCACGGGTCCCCCTTCAATATGACGGGAATCAGGCCATAGTCCACCACGCTGGCCAAGTACGGGTTGGCGGACGAGAGACTATATATTAGTATATTTATATACATAGGGTATGATGAGTTATAAATCCCTTACTTGAGAAATGACTGGATAAAAAGATAGTTTGAGACCCTGGAAAGGACGTAGGTGATAGGATACTTTTATCCCTGAAATCATCCCTTAGGGGGTAAAAATGGGGGTGCAAGTTTGTATGCAACCTAGGGACGAACCCGAGTGAAGCGAGTCGCAAGTTATTTATCTTATCAGTATAGATTAATATAATGTTAGGTACAATTACTATTTGACCTGAGCGATTTTTTAGCACAGTATCGTGATCAGTGTCTATAGATGGCGCCTTTTAGTATTATCACAGATCACATTATACTACCTATCCTATACAAAAAATTGGACAGCTCTAATTCGGTTATCCTTCGGGCTATTTTTATTTGCTTGAATTGATAAAAATAAATGTCATTAACCGCAAACGTTATACAGCTATGTTATTTTATAAATATGAATGTGTAAACTATAACATGATAAGTTCATTCTGAATTTAATTAATCATATTTCTGTGACTGTAAATTAATTGTTTTCAACTGTGTTAAAAAAAATCATAAAAGTAAGAGCGCCATCTATAAATATGTACTGCAAACCTGATTGCAGATTTTTTTAATAATAGCATTATTTCGTAAAATAAAAATGAATGTGTATAACATTTATTTTATTTTTGATCTATTTTGTATCTTTTATTAATTTTACACAAACTTTAATAACAAATTATGATACTTAAAATAGTGTAATATAATAAGTATTGACATATATTTGAACTCATAGTTTTAAATGTAAACTGCTATAATGATTGATAATTGGCTAAGATTTTAAATAATTACACTATTTTAATATATATACCTAATTAATTACATTGTTGACCTTTTAAATATTTTATGCTCTACAACTTAAAAAAAAAACAACAATTATGTAACTTTACGAGAAAAGAACATAGCTACAAAATACCATTTTTTATAACTTTTGAGTTCTTATGTTGTAACACTTACACGAACTTATATGAGACTTTTTAAACCAATTTAAAAAATGCCAAAACAATTTATTTATAAGTTAATAGTGCAAAATAATCAATTAATAAATAAAAATATCAGAGAAAAGTTTGCTTTCTTTGCTTTGTATCTATCGCCCTTATTTTTAAATCATTTCTTAAAATACCAAGATATTTGTTATAAATAATAATGCTTAAATTGACTAAAATATTGTTAAATAAAATAATAATGATAAATATATATTATATAATCATAATTTGGTAGGATAATTAATACATTAGAAGTAAAAGTAAACAATTATACTTTACAAGACCAATTACAAATTTTTAAAATATTTTAAAACAAGTAAATATTTTGTGGAATTTATATTTAAAGATAGCTAAATATATTAAATTAAGGATTTATTATTATAAATAGATTATTTTTCCTTGTTTTTAAATTGTGTTTTCGTCATAGAAATATAATTGGCTAAATGGCTACCTTCTGTGCAAAAGGAAAATGAAGTATGTCAACAAAATAAAACTTGATGGTCTATGAAATATGAATTATTATTGTCTATGCAACTTGACAATCATGGCGAGCACGTCGAGGTCTGTTTTTCTGATTTATTTTTACTTCTGTTTATATCGTATCGAAGTAATTCATTTACTGTTTATCCGAATAATGTTAATATACAATATGGCTTTAAGTAAGTTTGTGTTTGTAATGTCAAAACTTAGCTAGAGTGGGTTGTGCTAGATGTCTCTTGAGATTTCTAATAATCGTCATTTTACTTTCCTTTGTGGTTTTAGAATGGAGGCTAATAAGGTGGTGTGCTATGCTCATCCTGACGCACCACTTATCGAGGACTACAGGGCTGGTGACATGATATGCTCAGAATGCGGCCTCGTTGTTGGTGACAGGTAATGAAAATAATATTCCTCTGGATGCCATGATAATTGCAACAGTGGATCCCAACTGTACACAATACAATGCATAATATAAGGGTTTTTATGCCAAGGCCAATTATAATTATTGTGTAAGGATACATGCAATTTCGAAACTACCAATTGCATACATTGATTGTAAAGTTTGTGTGGCCATTTAATATGCGATGTTTATATTTACATTGGTGGACCCAGTTCTCATTCCCATAAAAGACAAATCGTGTTATATTCTGTAATTGGTTATGTTGTTATTAAATATTGCAATATTCACACGGATTTTATAAGCAAAATAAATTTTCTTTTCTAGAGTTATTGATGTTGGTTCAGAATGGCGTACGTTTAGCAATGAAAAGTCAGGAGTAGACCCATCTCGTGTGGGTGGTCCTGAAAATCCACTTCTCTCTGGAGGAGATCTATCCACAATTATTGGACCTGGCCGTGGGGATGCTTCCTTTGACAGCTTTGGAGTATCAAAATATCAAAATAGAAGAAATATAAGCAGTACTGACAGAGCACTTATCAATGCCTTTAGGGAAATAAACACAATGGCTGACAGAATAAACCTACCAAAAACAATTGTAGATAGAGCCAATAATTTGTTCAAACAGGTAAGATTTTGAACATTTTTTGTATAACACTTAATTTACTTATACCGGCAGTAAAAAATTAATAAAATAGGCATCAATACAGCAAGTCGATAACCCTTCATGTGACATATTGATTCTAATACAATTTGTATGTCAATCACAGACAAAACAAAAGAATATTCAATATTATCTAACTTAGCAAAATAAAGATTTGGATGTGTTCTATAACAGTTTATTAAACAAAATTTTTGTAGCTTAAACAAAAATAATAGTACATTTTATATTGTTGTTAGCAGTTTCTATGAGCAGTTTGATGAACATATTCAGAGTTCTGTAAAACAATTGATTTATGGCAATATAATTGTTTTTTACATTTCACATGAATATTTAACATAATTTAAATATGGAAAATGCTATTTTAGCAATGCAAATTAGTCAATATTACAATACATGTAGCACAAATGACCTACATACTACACTTGTAATGTCAGTTTAGTGAATACAATTTAACCTAGATTTGTATTTATTTTAAATATATTTTCTAATATTCCCATTATTTTCTATTTCTTTGATATATGATATTTATCTGATATATTTCTTTGTTAATTATTTTTTAACTTGAGTGTGATATTCTAAAAAGAATTTTTATATTATGTAACAACATAAATACTGGTTTTCTATTTTATAATTGTAATCAAAGAATTGCTTAGTAAGCACATATTAACATGAAATATTGTACTAACACCCATTCTATATTATTCAACATGCTGCATTCTTTTATATAATGACTAACAGAACCTGCAATTTGATCACTCTAAAAATAAAAATAAAACTCTTTGGCTTTAAGCAAAAGGCATTTTTGAAATGGACTTAGTAGTTTCTGAGCTTAAAGCACTTAAACATACTATAAACATCAGTTTTACAATAATTTATGGAAGTCTGCCCGATTTGTTTTAACATTTATGATTACTGCTCCTCTCCCATGGGTAGTAGCATGATGATATTATACAGCTTAAAGCCTTCCTCCATAAACGGGCTTAAGTGTAAATGATTTTTTTAAATCAGATTACTAGTTTCTAAGATTAGCCCATCCAAACAAACAAACTCTGCCTCTTAATAATATTAATATAGATAAGTTAAATGTTAATATAACATATTTTTAAAATTTATTTCCTACAGAACATTTGTATTAATTATCCTAAGTCTTAATATTATTTACTGAGAGAGACTGAATATTGTTGTTTGATTATATTGATTCTGTATAATACAATCGCAGCAAACTGCAGCTGATTGTATTATAAAATATAGTAAAGTCCCATATTATATTAAAATATAATATAGTGATAGGTCACTTCCCCTATTCAAAAATACCACCGCCTGCAGAGGCTGTGTCCTATATACTAAATTAGTGCCATACAATCCAATATATGATATAATTCTAATTTTCAGGTACATGATGGTAAAAACTTAAAAGGCAGAGCAAATGATGCCATTGCATCTGCATGCCTTTACATAGCATGTCGTCAAGAAGGAGTACCTCGAACATTCAAAGAGATATGTGCCGTCAGTAAGATTAGTAAGAAAGAAATTGGCAGATGTTTCAAATTAATACTCAAGGCTCTAGAAACTTCTGTTGATTTGATCACAACAGCTGACTTCATGTCTCGGTTCTGTTCAAACTTGGCCTTGCCTAATTCCGTGCAGCGGGCAGCCACCCATATTGCAAGGAAAGCAGGAGAATTGGATATTGTTTCTGGAAGGAGTCCTATATCAGTTGCAGCTGCAGCTATTTATATGGCATCGCAGGTTAGATATACATTAGTTTATTAAGCGAAGTATTTTTTAATAGTAATAATATTTGGGGGTTCTCATTTATCAGTTTTACCAAAAGTTCATTACATGATGGCAACACTCATCAGTCATCATCATCAGTATCAGTGTTAGAGTTATATTAATTAGATATTACAGGCCTTTCCAATCAGGATTTATATGCAGTGGTTTAGTCCAGATTTTGCTACGACATAATAAAAAAAAATGAGCAACAGTTGAGTTTCTCGCTGGCTCTTCTCAGCAGAACTGCCTTACGAGCTGGTGGTGGATTTCTCACAGACACACATACTGACATTTAAAATGTTAAATTTATGATTTAAAAGTGCTTGTAAAATGCTATTTGAGTGAAGTATATTTTGATTCGATTTGATATTAATAACATTCTTAATTACAGGCGTCAGAGGACAAGCGCAGTCAGAAAGAGATTGGAGATATAGCGGGTGTGGCAGATGTGACGATAAGGCAATCATACAAACTCATGTATCCGTTTGCAGCAAAACTTTTCCCTGAGGACTTTAAGTTTGCAACACCCATTGAATTCCTGCCGCAAATGTAAATGTAAGGAAAACATAATAATGATAAGTTATTTTAAAACATTTTATTGGTACTAATAAGGAATTATATTTTATGTATCTATCAGATCCCGCGGCTTCGCTCGTGCTAAAACTAAAAAAAATCTTTGCATTTATACTACCAGTAATAATGTATGGAAGTCTGCCTGATTTGTTGACATTTATACTTACTTCTCCTTTCCCTTGGGTAGTTGGTATATTAAGAATTAATAATGGCATAGTAAGAATTTTTAAAATTGGATAAGTAGTTCCTGAGGTTAAAACAAACAAACTCTGCCTCTTTATAATATTATTGTAGATTTTATGTTCATTCAATAAAATATATCTTTGACTTCAGAACATTATAAGTAACATCTCCCTGCCCATTTCCCAACCACTTGGGGTCAATGCAGTACATCTTCCATGTTGATAGGATTTGGCAAAAGTTTTACGTCGGATGCCTGCCTGATATCAACCCTCCTTGGGATAATGTATATGAACCTTATAAGTATATGAACAAAAAAAACAAGACTATTTTATAAGATAAAGGATTTAATCTTTATAATATTTGCTAAACGGTTCCTATATTATATTTGGAAACTATACACAAAACAAAAGTGACCTATCATTGTTAGTAGATGCTTTATAGTGGTAAGCTTTACTTTGCGAGATTTTTAATGATATACATCCCATATATAAACATTATTGGCTTTTTAACCATGTATATAACACCTTAAGATTCTTTATTCAATATGTCTTGTATTATGACAAAGATTCAATTCATTTTTTTTTGATAGTGATTATGACAATGACATAACTGATTTAGATTAAACGGTCCAATAATAATTTCAATGACAACTTTAGAACGAAGTGAAAACGATTATCGCACTATCTAGTTTCAAGTTATTATTAGAACTTGTAAGAAGCTAGAGTGTGTGATGTGATGTTGCAAAATTGAAAATGTCAGTGGTATGCAATTTGTCATGTAATTCAAGAGGGATGTCAATATTTGACGTCGGTCATAATTGGAACATGGCCGACATAATAAGACCATGACGTCAAACCGTAAACGCGACGCAAAATACAATAGTAAGCCTGTCTTTTTCTATTGTTAATGAGACAAAAAAACTTTCAACTTTCAACATAATCAGGTCAAATATATAATGCCATGAGTAAATATATTATGGCATTTAAGATTTATATTGTGCTTTATTTCGTACATTTAAGATGACATATTGAATATGAGTATGTTACTTTAGCCATATAGAAATTTAAAAACTGACTTGTATATTAAGCGATTTACTATATACATTTTTCATTAGGCTGTCTGTGCAAAAATGGCCTAATACATCATTTTTTATCTATTAAGTATATAGTATGCAATGTAATTTTTTTTAATATTTGCAATATGTACTGTAATGTAATATTTAAGTATAATATATTTATATTGTTTTGGAAAATTACTACATATAATGATGTTTTCTTTTTATGTATCAATATATCAATATGCATTCATTCTTCATAACAAATCTGAATAGGTAAGTTTTTGAACTGACAGCCTCCCCTATATAACATTGGCCTTATAGTGTACATTATCAGTTAATTCATATTTGATATCAAGTGTACACTTTGATGTAGATTCAAAGTGTACACGTGATATCAAGTGTACACTTTGATATAGACTGAGATGATAATATTACTTGTTATTCTTAACGTAACATAAGGAAATATATTGTATTTGTATGACCTTATTGAAAATACTAATGTTGTTTTGGTTTTTTTCATAAATAATATAAAGTTATTGGATGATGATGACATACAGGAATAATATGTCACTTATGTACAAACACTAACTTATTTTTTTTATCTTGGGAAATTAATATTTTGAATACGGTCAGTATTTATAAATACTTATATTTTTGTTTGTTTCCATACTTACAAAATTAATATCCCCTTGAGTTATCTCAAGTGATTTTCAAAATATCTAATACTAATTTAGAAGTGCTATAATGTAGATGTAAATTTTGAGTTAAGTGAGCTAAGTGGATGAGGGTAGGTTAACATTATTCATCCCACTAACGTAGAATTAAAGTTTCATATAAAATTCTTAAAGTAAGAGTGAGACAGAGTATGTATGACAATGGATACAAATTTTGAAGCCTGAATAATTATTTGCTGCCTAATATATATGAATATGAACTTCGAAATTTTTTGTATACACTCTAATTACCTGGTTATTTTATTTGATATAAAATAACCTTTGCTTCTTTTTGAAGGAGAATAATGACAAAAAATTAATTTCACAATATTTTTTTTGCAAGTCTTGATAAAAAATATATTATTTTTTAAATGAATGTATTGCATTTACTTAAAAAAAATATATAGTCAAAATGATGTTTCCAACTTTTTGTATATATTTTACTTATAAAAGACTGACCTTTGGTCGTAAATGTCGAATATCTTAACAAATTATCAATATAACATTACTGCATGTGTTTAAAAATTGTTCTATATTGAATATATAGGTTTATTGTATTTCTCTAAATGCTACCGACATTTCTATGAAGATTACCCTTTTTATTACCAGTTTAAGAGCTGAAACAAAAAATCTTAACCTAAATCTTGATTCTTGACCGTGGTGTTTGTGTTCGACCAAGAAAAGACCAAGATGTGACCAATTTTTAATTGAGTATCAAACATGGAGGCTGGTCTTGCGACCATTTGATATGAGTGTGCTTGGTGGTTTAGTGGCTAGCATGTACTTTATCTGGCAGACCCAAAGGTCCTGGGTTCGAGTCCCAAGTCAGGCCAAGTTATTGAGATTTTCTGTCAAGAATTATTGTAAGTCGTTGGTCGATATTGACATCGAATCCAAGACTTTTGTCTATGTATTATATAATAACAATGCGTTCGTTTAATATTAAGCTAAGTAAGGAACCATCATTTTGTTTTGTGTGTAATGCTTTGTTTTTATCACATTTTATTACGTGGAAGATTAAGTTTATTATTTGAGTTTTGATTTGATTTAATATCGGTATGATTATACCAAAAATATGTTTGTAATTATTTTTTTTGTATTTTTAGTTTAGATGTCAGAACACTCAAAAATAGTCTGCTAAAATATAGTAATATCGATATTGAATACGATTAATCGGAACATTATAATCGATGTAGTTTTATTTCCATTGTTATTTTCTTAAATAGCTATGAAATATAAAATAGAAAGTATGGCGTTTGTATGTTTGTGTAAGTACAATAACTGAAAGTGTGGGCTCGTATGTTTCGAGTAGACTAAGTATTACTTGAGTAACCAACTTTGTTATTGTGATTTATATATATTAATAAGTATTCCATTAAAATGATTTAGATTAAGTTTATTATATTGTTTTAATTTTTCCTATTCCGAATTACAAGAAGTAAAACTTATATAAACTTATACTTTTACAAAATAACGATTCACAAAACTAACACCCAACATTACAGTTCTCGCATGTATTCAGCCCTTTTTAACGTCCTGCTGCTGGGCACGGGCCTCCCTTCAATACGAGGGCGATCGGGTCATATCCCACCACGCTGGCCAAGTGCGGATTGGCGGACTTCATAATATGTCTTTCTAAAACTTGCTAGGTTCTCTCAGACATGCAGGTTTCCTTCACCGTTAAGGCAATTGGTAATCATGTTGGAAATGATTCGCACATGAAAACATCAGAGGTGCGAGACCCGGGATTTGAACCCGTTTCACTTTGTTTCTCAAGCGACCGCGTTACTGCTTAGTTCTCGGATATTATACGTCAACCATTTAGACTTCCTAACAGTATATGAACCAAAAGGGGATCGAGCCTTTGTGGCATTGCCAAACTTCCGTTATTTTTTTAGATGTACGGCGCACAAGGAAACTTGTACCTACTTACGTAGGGATAGAAAACAAATTAAAACTATTAGCAATATGGTTCTCTAAAGTGTTACATTTTGAAATATTTGAAGGTAAAGATCGCCATTAGACGATCATTAAAAATAAACTAATTTTATGTACTATAATATATAATACTTCTACGATGTCTACCTCAAACTATCTTGGAAATTTAACAACTTATAGCACTACTAGTTTTGCTCGCTTCAGGTGAACAAAAACCAAATTCTTAGGTTTTACATACTAGTATATACCTATACTCTTACAATGTAGTTTTTGTATTTTTTCAGAAATGTGGTATTTTCCCGCGGTAAAAAGTATCCTATATGTAGACCCGGATAACCAGTTATCACCATACCAAATGTCATCAAAATTCCTCCAGTGGTTTTTCTCTGATGCGCTAAAAGACGGACAGATAGACAAAAATTCTAGAAACTATAAATTCGGCCTCTGTATCGATAATAATGTTTGTTTCAATAAGATTTTCCAAAAAAATATTTAATGTACAGATTCGGCTTAGTTACAATTTTATTATATGTATAGACTGTCTATTATTTATATATTTTGTTTTTAAGGGCCCTCTATATATACGAAGTTACCAGTGTCCTCATGTGTTGTTATTCTGAAAAAAAATGGCGGATGTCTAATGTCAGCTTCCATAGAAAAATCTAGTCCAGTAGTTGCGCAGAAAAAGGCTGTGGCAGACTGACAGTCAAACTTATTTATGATCTTATATGGATTATGTTTTATATTCATAGAAATGTCTTAAACAATGATTATTTACAATTCCCCAAACGACTAACGTTTGACTACAAGTCACCCTTTTATTACTTTGTTTTGATCGTCACTTGTTTGTATTTAAGAAATGGCCCAAGTATATTTTAGTTTTATTCGACAGCAAGCAGTTAGAACATTAAGTTTATTGACCGACTGTAATAACAGGAGGGTGTATGTTGTTTTTGTGTATCGAATTTCATATTTTTTTAATCAATAAGTTATTATATGTACCTATATACTGGCAGCTAACCCTCGCTAAGTACGTTTTAACGGCTAGTATGGAGTAGATCCATACATATAATATAATTCTAATTG